AAAAAAAAAAAAAAAAAAAAAGTGGTTCTGGTAAAAAATCCTGGCACTTAAGTTCTAGTAGAAATGTTGTCAGACTTGGCTCGGCGCCCGTAGCACAGTGGTTAGGGCACCAGCCATATACACCGAGGCTGGTGGTTTTGAACCCAGCCTGGGCCAGCTAAGCTACAATGACAACTGCAGCAGAAAAATAGCCAGGTGTTGTGGTGGGCAACTGTAGTCCCAGCTACTTGGGAAGCTGAGGCAAGAGAATTGTTAAAGCCCAAGAATCTGAGGTTGCTGTGAACTGTGACAGCATGGCACTCTACCAAAGGTGACATAGTGAGATTCTGTTTCAGAAAAAAAAAAAAAAGAAAGAAAAATATTGTCTGATAATCTAAATATTATATCTTGGGTTCTGAATGTTATAATTTTTACTTTACTAGTCTATTCTTGACCTTCACAGGGCCACGATGGGCCTCCTGGAACATTGGTGTGTTCATCTGCATTCGATGTGCTGGAATCCACAGGAATCTGGGGGTGCACATATCCAGGGTAAAATCAGTTAACCTCGACCAGTGGACACAAGAACAGATTCAGGTACTTACACAGCCCAAGAGTGAGCCAGCTGCTCCCATATGCCTGTGTGAAAGTAGTTTCAGTGAATTTCAGTCAAACTGGACATAAAAGTGAAGATTTAGCTATTAAACAATTATGTTAAATTTCCACTTCTTAATAAAGGAATGTTTAATCTTTCTATTAAGATAAGTTAATACTGGCTCAGCGCCTGTGGCTCAAGTGGCTAAGGTGCCAGCCACATACACCTGAGCTGGTGGGTTCAAATCCAGCCTGGGCCCGCCAAACAATAATGACAGCTACAGCTGAAAAATAGCCAGGTGTTGTGGTGGGCGCCTGTAGTCCCAGCTATTTGGGAGGCTGAGGCAGGAGAATCACTTGAGCCCAGGAGTTGGAGGTTGCTGTGAGCAGTGATGCCACAGCACTCTACCCAGGGTGACAGCTTGAGGCTTTGTCTAAAAAAATCAAAAATAAAAATAATAATACACGCTCACATAAGAGAAAGACTCAAATGAATTCAAGGTTCAAGGTGGGGATTGGGGGAACAAGGTAGCAGAGAGAGGGAAGGGAAGAGGGGGATGCTTGTGTTCCCACTAGATGGGCACAATGTTAGGGGGTAGGGCACACTTCTTGGGAGTGGGACATAATTATAAGAGGGACTTTACCTAACAAGTGCAAACATTGTAACTTAATTATTTGTACCCTCAATTAACCTGAAACAATGAAAGCAAACAAAAAATATACAAGTTATTCTATCTATATTTTACCTCTTTCAAAACACAAATAGCTACGGGCAAGGACCCCATAAGTCCATGGAGGTATTAAGAAAGATACTGAGTTATTTTCTAAGACCCTTGGCATTTGTAGATCTGACATTTTTAGGTATCATAGACTTAAAGAAAGAAATCATAAATCTATAATCATTTATTATAGAAATATTTTATTGCTAAAATGACTATATGAATTGTGCTTGCTGTTCACTTGGTGATCTTGAAATGAGATACTTAGCTGGCCAAAGATACGCAACTTGAGGTAGCTTCATTGTTTATTCTTTTCCTACCTTGAAACACTTTAATTTTTAAATTTTTTTCTTTATGGGGGATAAAAGGGAGCCTCTCCCCGAAAGAAAACCAGTTGGTGATGGAAATACAGTTATTCTTTTTTTTTTTTTTAAATCTATTAGCCATTTAATTATGTTCTTTTTAAGAAATTTAAAACACCATTTTATGAGGGTAAGCTCCGTTTGTCAGAGCAAACATGCATCGCGGGTAGCCCTGGAGCTGAGGAATAGCCTTGATTTTTGGTAAAATTTGTGAGTCCACAGCTTTTTGATCAACCATGCGCTGTTCTTTTATCTCCTATTTCTCTTTTTCTGTGGTGAAGATCTCACCTTCCTGGTGTCTGGGCTTCCAGAGCTGCTGCTTCTTGAAATACGCATCAGTAAGATGCTTCGGGATTTTAACATTATGGATGTTAATTTTTGTGGTGGTGGCGATGACAAATTTCTGGTGTGTCCTTCGTAAAGGAACTCGATTGAGGGACAGAGGTCCAGTCACTAGTAGCAAGCCACTGCCCAGTTGCTTTAGGAAAACCACTCTCTTGCCTCTGTGGCGCCCAATGAGGATAATTAGAACGGTCCCGGGTGTGATGCTAGATCGTGGTTTTCTCACACACTGACCCAGTGGTTTTTGCCCTGGCTCAATAGCTTTCAAGGCACATCTTCAGTGGGATAGTATCTAGGCATTTTGTGAAGTTTAACCACCTGAATACCACCATTCTTGTCTCCACCAATTGGTTTTGTAACAGTGGCAAGGACCTTCTCCTTCTTCTTCTTTTCAATCTTGGATTTAGCTGCTGTATATTTCCTCTTATACATTGCCCTTCTGGAATACATGGCAGATCGGGAATATCTGCCTATTCCTCTGACCAGAACAGGATTTTGGCTGCATGGGGCATCCCCTTCTTGGCCTCAGGCCTCTTCTTTTTATTAACAGGTTTCTTCTCTTTAGAAACCGGCTTCTCAACTTTTTCACCCGCCTTCTTGCAAGATGGGAAAGAGCAATACAATTATTCTTAACCAAGAAATGGCTTTAGAAATCACTTTAGACTGCATTTATAGACTCTATAGAGTTATATTTTGGATTTGTGCTTTACTCTGTCTTATGAAGGAAATTATATACATGAAGGTTTTGGGGATTTATCCCTCACAAATATTAAGGGATCCATTTAGAAGCCCAATGGGAAACATACATTTATTGCCAATAAAGCTGAATATATTAATTAATAATACATGGTATAAACTCAGAATTTTAACACTGATTATTGCCTGTCAGGTAGACATTATGATTGGTAGCTGTGTATCTTAGACTTTCAAATGAATTATTACTGAATTAAAAAGTATCTTGGCAGACAAATCTTTTAGTAAAAGGTTAGAGTACTGGGGGAGACACCTGAAGTGCTGTGCTAAAATGATTGCACATTCCTAGAGATTAGAGAAATTGGATTGGAAATCAGAATACGTAATTTTATATCTTGGTTCTGCCAGACTCTAGGTTGGTTCTTCAATTGTACAGTGATAGGCTTGGTTGAGAAGTTTTTCAGTTTGTTCCTGATCTAACAGCCCATGTTTCCACATTCTCTTTGTTCACAGTGCATGCAAGAGATGGGGAACGGAAAGGCAAACCGACTGTATGAAGCCTACCTTCCTGAGACCTTCCGGCGACCCCAGATAGACCCGTATCCTTTCTGAAGCAACTTAGAAAGCTCAGTGGTATTTTGATGTCTGGGGAGAATCAGCACAGACTTAAGGCTATGCTCTAACTGGTTCATCTCCATGTTAATTAGTCAAAGTCCTAGCTGTTCCTTTGTCCTGAAAGCAAGATATATAAAAAACACAAGTATACTTGATAATGTCAGAATTGTCAGGTAGTATCACATGGGGGAAATATCACTGTGATTGCAGTTATTTTATTGTAAATTCTTCCATAAAGTTACCTCTCCATTAGTTCATTTGGGATCTCTGAAACTCCTGTTTGATAAAAAGAATAGTTTTCTGTGCTTTGTTGAACTCTAGCAGTTAGCAAAACTGCCATTTTTGTTTCAACCTCCCTAGTAGCTGGGACCACAATGCCTGGCTATTTTTTTGTTGTTGTTGCAGTTGCCATTATTGTTTTAGCTGGCCCAGGCCGAGTTTGAACCTGCCCTGGTATTTGTGGCTGGCTCCCTACTCACAGGAGCTGCTGAGCAAAACTGCCATTTTTAATGTCCTTTTATGTTCCATGTGAAAAAATTAATTGTTGTTGACTGGTTTATCAATAACTTTCTCCATCTGCTCAACAAGCCTCCTAAAGGCATAACTTCTCAAAACGTGGTTTGTAGATCATGTTAGTTTTTTGGTGGGTGCAGTTTTTGGTCAGGCCCTGCAGAAGGCATGCTGGTCAGATTCTGGCAGTGGGCACAAGGGTTTATATTTTTAAAAGGCACTTAAAAATATAAACTACATATATTCTAGAACAGCCACAGACACCTCTCGTGTCAATGTGAAGGTTAATCCCACTCAGTGCTGTCATCACTCTGAAGGTGATAATAGGAAACATTGATTCCTTGAAGTAACCATGGAGGAGGCCCTTCAAGATTTTGGTTAGGGAGGCTGCGTATGAAGACACAGGAGCCATGTGGAGAAACCAGGTGATAGGGAGGGAGGAGAACAGTGCTCCATGGGGTACAAATTGTCTTTTTATATTCTTACTATTGGAGAGACTTGTTTGATTTATCCTTAATGAGCTTTTTGCAGAGCTGTCGAGGGATTTATTCGAGATAAATACGAGAAGAAGAAATACATGGACCGAAGTCTGGACATCAATGCCTTTAGGGTTGGTTTTATTTATTTATTTATTTATTTATTTTTTATTTTTTTTTTTTTTGAGACAGAGCCTCAAGCTGTCCCCCTGGG